AAGTTGCGCATAATGTAGGTTCCCTTTGGGCCACCATATATCTCTCCACCCGCCGGTCGACGGAATATATTGAAGTCTACATAAAGCGGTCAAAGAGTTGTCCACTCTCGGTCACCTTCGACATTTGCAACCTTCGTCGTGCTGAGTACATGGCGGCATGGACTTCACTCGTCAATGAGGTCAGTCGATGGCATCGTCTCTACATCTTTGCCGATAGGGATCCCTCTTTCTCCATATACGTCCCTCTCGAGTTTGTGGCGGACAAATCTGCTGCCTTATTGGAGGAAATTCGCGTGGAACTCGAGGATTACGGCTGGACGGAGGAATTTGACCATCCCGAGGCGTTTGCACTTTTTGGTGGGGGTGCTCCTCGGCTCAGAGTTCTCGAATTCGACGGATTCATGCTGCATGCCTGTTGGCCGGTTTTTAACGGCATAACAACGCTATTTATCCACGAACTCCTCCCGGAAGCCATGTTGGAAGATTCGCAGTTCCAGGACTTGTTCAAAAACCTCCCTTCCCTGACGAGTCTTTCATTGTACGGAGACCCCCTGAAAAGGGACTATCCACGTGGGGCAAATATTGTCCTCACAAGCCTTCGGGCACTACGCTTACGGCTCATGACCGACGACCTCAACCAGAAGCGCTTCCCACACTTCTGGGAACATCTCACCGCCCCCGCTCTCAAAACGTTATATTTGTTTGAATGTCGCAATCACGATGTCGACAAGCTATCTGACTGTTTCACGCCTTTCCCAGAGCTGCGACCAATATTCCCTTCCTTACGCCTTCTCGTACTCGAAGACTGCCAATTTTCTGACCGGACATTCGAGATCCTGGCCTTGGAGTTCCCGTCTGTGGAACACCTAGTTTTGCATTAACTATATGAATCCAGCCCTCCGCGTGCTCAGCAAGGTCGGCCGCTGGTCTCAACTCACTTCACTCAACCTTTGGGGAAAAGACAATCGAGACGTGAATAATTTCAAGAATCGAGACACGCTGAGAGCGCGGATCGGCATGAAGAAGCCCATTTTAGATCTGCGCATATCCAACAAACCTCCACTATTTCCCAATCTACTCCTCCGGAATCATGTTCCTAATTTCGAGCTCATGCAACAACCTGCCTTCTGGCCACAGTGGGATTTCTTTTCCGTCGTTCTACATAGTCACTGAACCAGGTATATAAATGAATTTCAGCCTTACTTTAGTCCATTTCTACTATTGAGACGGTGACTGCGCTAGTGGTCATCTGTATTTGTAAAATGCATAGTATTTCCTCTCAATCAATGTTTTATAGTTGTGCAATTTCACGTAGTGACTTTCGTGTGTTGAAACCATTCTCTAGCGGGAGAGCATCCGTAGGCCACGTACACAGGCATCTAGGTACCGAGACAGGATCACACCACCGAGGTTATCCAGAGACACCACATGGAAATTGCATGGCTCACCATAACACGACCCAACGGCCCAGTTCATTCGCACATGAGAGACATCCCAGTGGTACCGCGTCAGTTATATTATTCGGTGGGTGTTTTCGCGTGTCATATGTTGCACAGATCTATATTTCGGGAAGACACTCCTCTGCGACATGATATTAAATCCTATCAAGAAAACGACGGCCGTCTGTATCTTGACATTTCCGGTCCAAGTGGGAGCGCTGAAGTGGGCCTGGAGTCCTTGCAATTCCGGAAGACAAGACACCTTGCTTCCTCGTGGTCGTATAGTAACTCCGCGACATGTCCAAGGGAAACAAAGTCGTTTCGGGACACCTGATGAAATGACAAGGAGTATGACAAGGTGACCTTGTGCTATAAGCAGCAATACTGGCAAGACTCACAGTCCCATACAGTCAGGACTCTCGACTGAGGCCTAGTCATCGCCCACGGGAACCTCTTCTTCGAGGTATTTCACAAGTCTGACTCGAATCTCGGTGCTCTCGTCACCGCGCAGAACGTCGGATATGAAGTCCACCTGTGCCTGCATTTGTACCTTGAAAAAAACACAACTCATGAGTGCTAGCGCGGGAGATCCAATCTTAACGATCACTCACCATTTCCAGCGCCCCGCGAATCACACCACAGAGAACGTTGCTGAACCACAGACCACCTTCTAAAGCTTCTTCGGGCAGCTCTACAAACTCCGCAAGAGGGTTTTCATCCAGCGTCAATGTGAAAGTGGATCCAGCCGATGCCTGTGCTGCAGAAACGCCAGAATCAGGTCTCGGCAACGGTGGTGGTGGTGGAGCCCCGTGTGTTATGGTGGGCGTGATGTTTAGAAATGTCTTGAACCCAACCTAGCGAATCCCGGGCCAGCATTCCGTCCATGAGCATGAGTACCGGGCAAGATCGGATTGCCTCACCTTTGAAACCACCTCACCAACCTCTCGGAAATCTGCACATCTGCCGATCCCACTCTTTGCCAGAAAGTCTTCAATCAAGCGAGTTCCGATGTTGTAGCCCATCTTGTCGAGCTGCTTGTTCACCTCGGCATAATCTTCGTAGTCCTGAATGAGTTGAACCACCAGGGCTCCATACGTCAGAGCAAACAGTTCTGCATTCTGCCACAAAAGTTGGGATTGGATGCAAACGCGAATGAATCATCTGGCAAGGCTCACGATCTTTTCAGCTCGGCCCTTCCAGAGGTCTTCGCCTATGTTCTTATATTGCCTGGTGGTCGCCATGAGAGAGGTCACGCAGACACGTTATGTCACGCCAAGAACAATGCTCGACGCAGCGCGCATTGAGCCGCAACATGAGGAATATTCATACTCTTTCCCAAATCCTCGCGATGGTACATTACTGGGGAAGGACAATAAGAAATAATTACAGATGACGCACGTCCTCACCACCGGTCCAGCTGGTTGAGCTTCTTGGCCGTTTTGGCGTTGGACTGGGTGTTCTGTCCTCTGACCGGCAAGTGCATAGCGTGTCTCCTTCCAACGTAACTCCCAATCATCCGTTGGTGTCCAATGTTATCCCGAATGATCCTCCTCAACTCCGACTCGATCTTGAGGTCCTTCAACGGGTCTGGCGACGGCTTTGGCGCAACACCAGTGTACTTCGCCCGTTTCAGCTTCTTTTCCTCCCGCGCGGCTCTCAGCGCGTTGAATTCGTTCTGAATGTCCTGGATGGACCTGTTTGGCGGAGGTGGGACAAAGTCTGGTTCGGCAAGAGGGTATCGGGGTGGTGGTAGGGATGTACTGGGTGATGAAAGGAAAGATGCGAGGGCAGTGACCTGGTAGGGCGATAGGTCCTTCATTTTGCACTTGTCGTGAATTTGTAGACGGGCGCAAAGCCGGTGTGCGGTCTGTTGGCCAATGCCGTAGAATTTAGTGAGCGCAAACTGTTGCTGGGTCAGTAATTCGCCTTTCTAAAACACAGTAAGGTACTAACCCGTGCGACATGTGTATCCCGCAGGTTTACACCGAGAATGTGAACCATGGTATTGGTGACGGAGCCTCAGCGCACGACGTTCCGAAATTTCTGCCAAGTCACGGCCAGGTCACAAGTGTCACGGTCACGCATCACCTTTACGCCGCCGATCATTCAACCTCCCAGTGCCCACACTCACCACCGCTACTTACGATGTCGACCAACAAGGCAGAAGGTCGACGAGAAGATGCTCTCGCGAAGCAGCGCACCCAAATGCGAGAGGACTTCGAGCGGCAGAAGCAGACTCTCATCAACGAGACGGAAAAGGCGCGGCCTTCATCGAATCGATTCGTTGGCCAACATGATTCCATGGAGGACAATCTCAAACACAGCACCGTCGGCTTGGTGCACCTTGAGGAGTTCCAGCAACGAAGGAAGGAGCTGGAAGACGCAAAGGCGCGAGAGGCCGCAAAGTCCAACGACCTAAAGTATGTTTTCATTGTTCTTACGCATCCACTTTGCTGTGTTGTCGCTCTGTGAAATGGATGGCTTATAGGATGTGGAGAATCCGTTTAGGGACGACACAAGGAAACTGAAGAAACGCAAGAAGGTGGCGAAAGCCACCCTATCATTTGCATTGGACGACGAAGAGGGTGAGAGCTCTTCAAAGGCAGACGACGACGATAGGTCCTCGAAAGAGAAGGACGAAAGTGGTGAAGCTGCGCCCCCTGCTAAACGCGGCAAATTCCGCAAGAATCCCAACGTCGATACATCGTTCCTCCCTGATCGCGAACGCGAGGAAGCGGAGCGGAGGGAACGTGAACGTCTCCGGTTGGAATGGCTGGAAAAGCAGGAAACGCTGAAGAAGGAGGACATTGAAGTTGTGTACTCGTACTGGGATGGGAGCGGACATCGTAAAAGCGTCACGGTAAGCCTCAACACAACAAGTTTGCCCCATTGTGGCTGAGTATTTCTGTCACATCCAGTGCAAGAAGGGAGACGCCATTAGCAGCTTCTTGGAAAAGTGCAGACAACAGTTCCCTGAGCTACGAGGCGTCAGTGTGGACAATCTCATGTATATCAAGGTATTGTCCCGTGTTGAACACTTTTCGACCTACTGACACTGGTCTGTAGGAGGATCTGATCATACCTCACGTCAGTACCTGCGTTCTTTGCTCGCCCGTCTTGCTCAATTCTCTTCCCTTAGCACTACACCTTTTACGACTTTATCGTTAATAAGGCGCGGGGAAAATCTGGCCCTCTATTCAACTTTGATGTCCACGACGACGTTCGTTTGTTCGCAGACGCCACAAAGGAGAAGGACGAGTCTCACGCTGGGAAGGTCGTCGAACGAAGCTATTACCAGCGGAACAAACATATATTCCCCGCATCCAGGTGGGAGGTTCGTCAGGTCGTCTTATACTTTACATTTTTGACCTCTGACAACGCTCGCGTAGGTGTTTGATCCGGAGAAAAACTACGGGAAATATACTGTCGCATAGTCAATACTTTGGTTATATGCTCGAACCACGATTGCAGTTTTCCTTAGCGTCCAATGAACGGGGTGGAGAACGACTAGAAGCGAAGAAGCATCAACGCATGAAAAATAAGGTCAATGAACGCGAAAAATGGGGGCACCGCGGATTGAACGCGGGACCTTCAGAACCCAATAGAACATCACTTCAGTCTGCTGCTCTCCCAACTGAGCTATGCCCCCATGATGAAAGTTAAAGAAGACTAGTGAGCACATCGACTATAAACAGCCATCCAAGGGCAAACACTTCGTCTCCTTCCTTGAGTGCTCTCATCTCGATCCAAGATGTCTGGAGCAGGAGCACGCGAAAATGTGTTTGCGACGCGGATGGCGCTCACGAACACTAAGCTGCGGCTCAAAGGAGCGCAGACTGGCCACTCACTTCTAGCCAAGAAGCGCGATGCGCTGACCACACGATTCCGGGCCATCCTGCGGAAAGTCGATGAGGTACGTCCGCCGTCACCCTACGTTGAACTGAACTGACAAAGTCTTAGGCGAAGCGAAAGATGGGCAGGGTGATGCAGCTCGCGTCGTTCTCGTTGGCAGAAGTGACCTACGCAACTGGCGACATCGCGTACCTTGTGCAGGAGCAGGCAAAGCAGGCGACCTTCAGGGTGAAGGCGAAGCAGGAGAACGTGTCCGGTGTCGTCCTCCCGGCTTTTGAGGTTGATCGTGTAGCAGGGTCTGGTGCGTAACGAGACGATTTATCGCGGTCCTGTATCTCACTCATTATACAGATTTCAACCTGACTGGTCTGGGACGTGGTGGCCAGCAGGTGCTCAAAGCCAAGGAGGTATATGCGAAAGCTATCGAAACCCTGGTAGAGCTTGCGTCGCTACAAACGGCATTCACGATCCTCGACGAAGTCATCCGGGCCACGAATCGGCGCGTTAACGCGATTGAGCATATTGTCATCCCCCGTCTCGAGAATACCATCAAATACATTATGAGTGAACTGGATGAAATGGACCGAGAAGAGTTTTTCAGGTGCGTCAAGGGTCTGACTATTGATCGACTACTGCTTATGGATGGCCTGCTAGATTGAAGAAGGTACAGGGGAAGAAGAAACGGGATACAGCTGCAAGGGATGCCGAAGCAGCTCTATTGTCGGAGGACAAGCAGGCGTCTTCAGACGATCTGACGACTGAGCAGACCGTCGACTTGCTCAGCAGCAAAGATGAGGACGTTATATTCTGATCCTTATCCCTACTCTCCTCGTATAATCAGACAGTCAGAATACCTTGCATACACTGCTGTAATGATTCGTGTACCAATATAGAACAGCCTCAAATTCAAGGTATCCTCTTATTCGACGGTGGACATAATGCAGGTCATGGCATATCATGTGCAGTGAGCATAGATACATGGTGGTGGTTTTGGGTAGCAATAGAAGGAAAGCGAGACGACAGATTACTGGAGTTGGGTTGGTCATATCGTCAACAAAGGCACGACACAGAAAGTGGACAGATGAACGCACTGCAATCTCAACGTCCGCGGACGCCACCTCCGTCTTCTGCGTGGATTTCCTCTCCAGAATCGCCCGGCTGATGAAATTTGTCAGAGATCATATTTCAGGACCGAGTTTCCAGTTGACGCACCGATCCTTGTCCAGCTTGATCGTGGTGATAACAACATTGCTGGGATGGATGCCGATGGGAGCAGCAGCACCATTCGACTTGTCGCGTTGCACACGGTCGACATGGATAACCCACTTCTTGCGGTACACCTGCGTGACCTTGCCCTCGCGACCCTTGTACTTGCCCCGGACAATGCGGACCTCGTCATCCTTGCGAACGGGGAGCGAGCGAGCCTAATCGATGAAAAGTTCGCGTCTAGAGGCGTCGATTGCAGGGGGGCCAAATTGACGTACGTTGTGCTTAGCACGGAGCTCCTTGGAGAGGGCGGAGGACATAATTTTCCTCCGGATGGAGGAGGGCGCGGAGAAGTGCGCCTTGCGGGACTTGCGCCGGGAGGAGGAGACGTCTGAGGGAGATCATCAGTATATGCTCACTGAAGTGTCCAAGTCCATCCAAAGTCCAAGTATGCCATCCAGCCCAAATCTCCACCGAATTCCACCGATGAACCACAAATGGAGAGCTACGAGCGGCTGGACAGATCGGGGACAGTACGCACCGGCGTTGAACTTCATTTTGGCGGGGTTTCTTGAGGACGGCGGGCACGACGAGGGAGGACTTTTGGCACTGGCTTTGGATACCTTTGTTCCCACGGCCATGACGTGAGGCTCACGTGATCATTCAACCCGAACATCGCTCCGACGCTCATGTCTACCGACAAAGTTCGCTCAACAAAGCTCAAATTCAAGGGGGACAAGTCGAAGAAGAAGAGAAAGAGAGAAGATGGAGAGGCTGGTCCGTCGAAAAGGAGTAGGCGCAAGGACGACGACGAAGATCCCGAGACATGGGTGCTGCCAGAAAACCCCAACGAAATACGTGGACCGACATTCATAATACATCCTTCTGACCCCTCACCCATCTGCATCAACTTCAATTCTACGACCAACCGTGTTGTTCTGTACTCCTTCGACAAGGAGAAACCAGAAGACGACGCGGAACCACCGAAACTGCTGGATCGAACTCCGACAGACGTTTCGCAGGTCTGGGTCACTACTCGTGTCGCTGGCTCGCCTACAGTCAATCTTCGTACTGGTACTGGCGAGGGAAAGTTCCTGTCCTGTGATGCTCACGGCCTGGTCTCTTCCGATCGCGACGCTCGAGGCCCTCAGGAGGAATGGACTCCGGTTGTTCTCCCAGATGGAATGGTTGCGTTCATGAACGTGTACGAGAAGTACCTCGGTGTTGATGAAGTCGCGGGCGGGTCACTACAATTGAGGGGAGACAGTGATGAGGTTGGATTCAGGGAGAGGTTCTGGGTGAAGATTCAGAGCAAGTACAAGAGAGAGGCGAATGAGGAAGAGAAGAAGAAGGAGGGTGTGACGGAGACGCCCATGATCAATGAGACGGCCACCAAGTGAGTTATTTGTGGTTCGCAGCCTCGTACATGCTGAATCTCTTGTCAGTCAGCTATATCAAACATGGGGTGCAGGACGTCTAGTCACGTCTACGGAAGATAAGAAGGAGGTGGGTTCATATTATGCTGGCTTGTGAATTATTCTTGACATCTGCGTTAGTTGAAAAAGGCTCGTAAGGAAGGTCGACTAGCTGAAGCTCTGCTCGACCGTCGGGCAAAGCTGAAGAGGTTCGTCATATCGGATCTGTATTGTGGATGACGCTCAACATGATTATCATTCAGCGACCGATTCTGTTAATCCGGCATCTCTATGTATACTGAATGCATGTCGTGATGTATTTCCAAACCAAGCATATTCAACGGCGACCTCCATGATTCTCAGACCACCAGCTACATTATGAATGTGAGCTAGTTCTGATACCGATTGCGCCGGTAATGTAATTCAATTATTCAAGCACTCCAGCCGCAATTTCGAATGGAAAATGAGTCGCCGTCGCGTCCCTGGTGAGTAAAAATGTCATGTGGACGCGGGAATGTTCAAAGATGCTGTTCAGCGCCACTGCACGGACCACGACGTGATACCAGTGGCAGCTGAAAATGTTTCATCCAGAGATTGAAGCGAAGTCGCCAGCTTTTGCACCCAACACATTCATGTTTCCTCGACCACTTGATCTTCCCCAGAAGAAATTTTCAAAATATTCCCTTGCACGACTGGAAAAATCACTCAACTGGCCTATCGATCGCTTCAAAGAGTTCAAAGATGTGACGTACGCTTCCGCTGAAAAAAACCTTGACCGAGAACAGCCATGTTCTCGACAAGAAATCCGCTGGTTGCAGAAGTTCAAACGCGAGGTACGTTTGTCTGCATCGCTCCTCACAGATGAAATTGACACCATGAAGGTGATTTTAAAATTCCCCGACCTCGAGCAGTACGAGGGGTGTTGGCCGGTATATCCTGTGGTGTATGCCTGGCGAAAGAAGAGCATGCATCGTCACGACACCACTGCCAGTATCTCAGCGCAAGCAACCTCTCAACCGCCATCGATTGGCCGTCTACAGACCTCGTTGGGCCGACAACATATCATTAAGCGATCGCGAATACACTATGTAGGGAAACCACCACCACGTCGGATGACATTTTCTAGCGGCTGTGATATCAACACTGGCCAATCAGAGATCTCCGCCGATACACCTATTCGTGCTATGGCGTCAGGCGCTTCGACCGCTGTGAGTACGACACTTGTTTTTTTTGTTTGAGCACATCATATAATCCACTATCACCATTCTCAGCACTCTGTTCACCTTACAAAAGTGGCCTCTGCTGGAGTGTCGCTGGGACATGAAGATCCACCAAATATGTCCTTTAGAGACCCCTCACACTCCTCGCAGGTACAATCATTGCTCACCGTCAGTCCAGAGTCACACAGTGTCTTCGGAGTCGACACCCAGCCTCGCAAAAAGGATGATATCTCTCCAATTGATTGCTTGTTCTGTGAGCATGTTGCGACCATTCCGGCTGGTGCTATGGCTGAGATTGACTCGGTATGCCAACACAATAAGACTCTCGTCGCAACCCTTGGGAAGCTCGGCATACATACCGATAACCATCTCGCGCTGCTTCGACAGAACTTATCTGGTGCTGTGAACTTTCTCGAGACTGTACCGATGGAAATGTTAGGTTCATTCCCTCTGTACAGAAAATATCTCGAAAGCCTGCTCCGACTGGAGCCCACCATTGATCAGAATGTGCATACCTTCCGCTACCCTTCCAAAGAGCTAGAAAAAGATCTATTAGACGGTTCCTACTCAAGGAGCCCGCTCCTCAGGATGGTAAATTTCCCCGACGACGAAATATGTTTGGCTCTCGTTGTACGTCTATCTCTCAATCACCGGTTTCTTTCCGCACAACCGACTACAATGCTCATTTTTTTGTAGGACAAAATAAACAAAGAAACGCATGGCAGCGAAGATACGCTTACCACCTTTGCAGAAATGGTGGAAAAGGTCCGTTGGAAATTTGATAATTTGTCTCAGCAAATAACTCCATTTCAGATCAGCGAATGCTTTCCGTTCCTCAACAAATACGAGAAACGGTGGCCCATCTTAATCCATCTACAATGGCGCTTCGCAAGATCGCAGTATGAGCGTCACGGTGCCAAGCTCTGCACGCCCGCGGAAAATGAATGCCCTGCTGG